AAAAGTAAGACAAAAGTTGATTTTGTTTCACTGGGAGAAACATCTTTTTACATTTAGGGTCAGGATTCTTTTTGGAACTTGATGTTATTAGGGTGACTTTTAAAAAATGCTATAAATAGTAATGTGTTCCATTCCTGGTACTTGGGCTTATAAAATAAAGATACATTTTCCCAAGGTTGTGACGGCCAAATGGTTACAGCGTGGGAGTCAAGTGAGGGGTATTGAGACACAGGTTACAAAGTCAGGCTATGATCACATAATTAAACACCAGCAGAAGGACCAAGCCACCCCCCCTTTTTTTTCCTGTACAGAATAAGGGGATAATAGCAATAGTGATTGAATCTATACTTAAGATTTCAGAGATAAAGCCTGGGGAGAATGGGGAGAACTTGTGGATAAAATGGATGTTCTTGAGGATCAAAGAAAGAAATCAAAGACTGAGTCATTCTAGGACTCAATAGAGTGGAAGGGAGGGACTAAAAGTATCTATACGTCAAAATTTCAAGAGCATGGCCCAAATACTTTGTTGATACAAATTTTATTTTTCATGCTGAAGTGTTTTTTACAAATTTTGTTTTGTCATACACAAGTATAAGAGTAACAGTTACAAGTGAATTTAAAAAATAGCATTGGGGGGCGTTTCTGTTCTCATTCTTATCATAACCATGTTTCTCTACATGAACAGCGATCGTAATCATAATTCAGAACTGTACACATGGTGAATCTAACAGACGAAATGCAATGGAGGCTGCTAAAGAGTAAGCATACAGAGCGTACCTCACATTCTCTACTCCACCATCCAAATCGACTGTTAGGAGTTTAGGGATAATGTCATCCACATAATAGGTGAACATCCCAAACCATTTTCCAACCCTTTTTCGGTTAAGCTCTAAAGGAAATTCTGAGCTAAAACACACAGACATGACCGGCTGATACTTTGCTGACACCAGCCTCCGTGTCATGAAAGTCTGCATCTGTGCAGCCTGGCATTGTTCCTCCTCATGCTGGACTTTACAAGATGAACAGTGTGTACGGCACCTAAGAATCACCCAATACAGTTGATGCAGTGTCTCCCAGACTTCTAGTTTCTAAAATTCTGGGTGACATGGGACAATCTGAACTGTCATCATCTACATGGTAGTAACATCACCTTTGGCCATTGGCACAATACTATTCTTTTTTTTTTGTTTTACATCATACAAAATATCCTGAAAATATTTCACTTAGACACATTTCAATTAATGTAATTAAGCAGAAGGCCATGACTTCCTTCTAGAATAGTTAGACTTAACTGTGAAAAGCTCCTCACAATCTTGCTACGTTATCTATACACTGCTTTGAGGGTGGAACACCAACCACACTTTATCTTCAACTTGAAGTCTGTGTTAAAACATATGAAAGGAACAGCAAGAGGAATTCCATTAACAGCTTAAAAATAGAAATACCATTTTTGTTCCTATGGTACAAAAAAATGGTATGTTTTTTATGGTTAATCCCATTGCTGTTGCTGAAAGATAAGCTTCAGAGCCCCTCTGTGAAAGCTGTTCTCTGAGCAAGCTAACAAACACACAATACAATTGCAGTCAGAAACTGTACATGGAGATTGTGCTGTAAATAGGTCTGTGATATAGAAGTTAGATTTTTGAGCCAAGTATATCACAAATACATTTGTTTTAATCTAAAAAATACAACTTTGAAGAAATAATGATTTTTATCCAACTTTATCAGATATGTATTGATTTTATTTGAAACATTAAAGATAAATGTTTCATCTAATTTCACAAAGCCAGTCAGAGGAATAAGGCCGACCACTCTAAGACACACTGTGATCCCAGCAGCTGTGGGATCTTAGCGTCTCAGGTGCTAGCCTGATGATGTCATTATGGTTTCCTGTTTGAATAGAAACCAACGATGTAATGTTTAGCTCGTATTACTTATCAAAGAAGACAAAAAATGTATTTAAAAATATAAAAATACTCTTATTTTTTTAAAACCATATGAATGAAACTATCTTGTAAAATAAGAAGCAACCTGTGAACAACCAGTTGATTTAAGTCCTTTAAAAGACAGAATGGAAGAGAGTTAGCAACACACCTGCCAACCTAACACCCAAAATTACTGCACAGTAGGCTAAAAATCACAAGGCCCATTAGGGCCAAGTTTCAACTGTCATAATGTTACTCAGACTGTGTTTGGATGTCACCTCCCACCTCCTTTTACACTGTACCACCATTTCCTATATTACTCTTGTAATTTTTTTAAAAATAACTTCATTAAGACAGAGTAAACAGGAGTCAAGAGAAAACTGATAACAAGATACAGTTATGTTCTGTGAAATGTCACCTCAGGCAAGATAGTCTTTCAAGCAATTTCAAGAATTTATCTCATGTCTAGTATTTTCACACTGTATTTCAAATCTCAAATGTAATAATCTTACTTATAAATAATTCACACCGAAAATGTCAGTTCTACTTTTATTGGAATGATTGTGAAGTATTAAATATTAACACACAAAAATTAAGCTCCAGCTTTGGTTCTAAAGGACTCTACATTGTTTAATTTACTTTTAGAAACATTTCAGAGAGCAATTTAAAGTTACCAAAATCTCAGCCATCACTATTAACTTCAAGAACTTTTACTTTATTTTTTACATGAATTTGTGTGTATGTTTGTGTACTATATCTGTGGTACTGTAATGTATGGGTGGGAATGGGCATCCATGCATTTGTGTGTGTGTTTGTGTACTATATATGTGGTACTGTACTGTATATGAATGGACATCCATGCATTTGTGTGTTTGTGTACTATATATATGGTACTGTACTGTATGTGAATGG